TATCTATTCTACTGGACCAAGATTGGTTGTTAGAATTATTCTTAGTTCAGCTGCCTTTTAGCATTATTTCCGCTTGATTACTGTAGTCACTGTGTATACCATTCTCTTGGTTCTGCTTACTTCATGCTGCATCAGTTAATACAAGCATCCCTATGTTTATCAGAATTCCTCACAATCATCATTTCATGCAACAGTATTCTATTACATTAGTACACCAAAATTTGTCCAGACATTCTTCAATTGCTAGGCACCCACTTGTATCCAGTTTGTTGCTACCACCAAAATGCTGCTATAATTTGGTATAAATGGGACTTTACCAGGTGAGTGCTTTATGTTTAACAATAGGCTCTTCGGAGAGAAAAAAAAATGTAGGTGCAGCACAATTTTCAGTGTAATCTGCATTATTAACATTTTCCCCATCACTTTCTAAGTATAGATAATCAACAAAACAATAAACCAAGCCCTAATTTGTAGTGTTTGCTGATATCCAAGGTGTGAATGCTCATACTGAAATTTTAACAATCAGCTCTCAAGCCAATTCAAGCTGTCTCTAGTACACTCTAGGACTTTGCTCTCTGTCTATGACCTCCTTGGAATATATGCCAAACAATGAGATTGTTGATTAAAGAGTACAAATTACTGAGTGATTTCTTTCAAATGATTTCAAATTGCTTTCCAGAAAGTTGGACCAATTCATGACACCACCAACAATGCATTAGCATGCCTGTCTTCCCAGCTCCTCCAACATAAATTTTATCTTTTATTATTTTTTGTCAACATGATGGCTGTGGGTAAAACCTCAGATTTATACTCCCATTTTACAGATGAGAAAACAGAGACTAAAGTCACAGGCCAGGGAAAGATCTTGAACCCAGAATTTCTGACACTAAGTGCAGCATTCTTTCCACCTCTCCAAGAAGAGCAACATCTCTCCAGTTTGGAGAATATATCTCCCCCATGCAGAGTGGAGGCTGGTCATCAGTGGGGGTAGGGAAACAAAGGGAGATAATTAAATAGGCTAAACTTTAATTTGCCCCCCACTTTTTTTTAGTAAATATCAAATTAATACCAAAATACAGAACATGCACTTAGTAGGTCTCTTGATGGAATTAATGGAGAAGCTCAGCATCTACTCTCTATTCACCATGTGGTTTCCACATTCTGAAAAAACTCTTAAGGACCCAAATAGCATCCCCGAAGGAGCTAGTTAAGTAATAACTTCTGAGACCCTTCAGAGAATCACAGAATCTTAACACAGGAAGGAACCTCTGAAGATATCTAGTCCAACCTGTACTTAAACAGGAATCCCCTTATTGCATCCCCAAGGGGTGGTCATCCAACTTCTGGAAGCACCATCAGGGACAGGGAACTCATTACTTGCCAAGGCACCACATTCTATTTTTGTACTAATTGTTCAGCAGTTCTTCCTTATATCCCTCCAAAATCTGCTTTCTGCAACTTCCCATCTTGTTTCTAGTTTTGGCCTGTGGGGCCAAAAACAGTAAGTTTACTCTCTTCCTTTTGTAGTAAAAAATTGGTCCTGGACCCTTGCACCTCCTATTTGATTCCTAGACATCAGTGGACTTCATGCTGAATAGAGTCTCCTGAGATCTTCTATCTGGAATAGTTTGGAAGAGAGGTGTGTAGGAAATGTATCCTTGCCAGGGAAGGGGGGGCCCTAGAAACACACAGGTCTTTAAGCTGTGACCTGCGGAAAGTGATTTTACCTCACTAGGGTTCATCTGCAAAACGAGGGGGTAGGTCTCAGGCTTATCACATTCACAGATGATAAGACAGCTAGAAGAGATAATTAACACGTTGGAAAACAGTGTCAGGATCCAAAAAGATCTCAACAGATCTGAGCCAAATATAAAAATGTGAAATTTGATAAGGAAAAATATATCATTTGCTTGTGCTGAAAAAAAATCATCTTTGTGAATACAATAGAGGGGAGGAAGGGCTAGAGATTCATTCTCCTTTTTAAAAATCTGGAAGTTGTGGGGGGCTGCAACTACAATATGAGATAACAGTATGACACTGAAGCCAGAAGAGCTAGAATTATCATATGCTATGAAGAGACTTGTATGGGCCAAGACAATGGAAGGGATAGTCCTACCATTCTCTGTCCTGGTTAGACCTCACCTCAAGTAATACGTTCAGATCTGGATGCCATATTGTAGGAAGGACGTCGTCCATAAGTAAGAGAACATTCAGAGGAAGATGATCAAAATGAGGACAACTAGTTAAAAGAAATGGGAATTAGAGGACACAGAGATGCCATGTTGGTAGTCTCCAAGTACTTGAAGGGTTGTCCTCTGGAAGAGAGGTGAGATTTCTTTGGCTTGGTCCCAGAAGACAGAATTTATGGAGGGCCAAATTTATCCTTGCTATAAGAAAAAAAACAACTGTAACAAATGTAGTTATCATGACTAAGAATGTTAAACTGAACCCTTCTCAGCAATACGAGGATCTAAGATATCTCCAGAGGCCTCGGGATGGAAAATGCTGTCCACATCCAAAGAAAGAACTATGGAAGTCAAATCGCTCTCACTTATTTTTACCTTCTGTTGAGTTTTGTTTCATCTTTCTGATGGTTCCTCCTATTGGTTTTAATTTTTACTTACAACTTCACTAATGTAAAAATATGTTTTAATGGGTATGTAAATGTAAAGCCTATGTCAGATTGTGCGCCGTCTTCAGGAGGGTGGGGGGGAGAAAAAGGGAGAAAAATTTTCAACTCAAAAGCATATGGAAAAAAAAATTTTTTTAAATAAAAATTTAAAAAAAAAAAGAGAAGGAAAGAGCAAATCGTTCCAATATCTTTGCCAAGAAAATCCCAAATGGGGTTATGAAGAGTCAAGCATGACAGAACAACAATATCATGCCAGCTAAGAAAGCTTCAATTAAATGATCTCAAATTTCACCTTGCCCATGAATTTATAAATGCATGTAAGTTTTCAATAGATGAAATAATTTTAAAATTAAATTTCCTGGTTGGTTGATTGATGACGAATCACCTGGAAAGATAATTTTATATTTCCAAAAATATTTTAAAGATGTGGTTAAATTATTTTAATAAATAATTATTGGATTCTGAAAACAAACAAACAAAAAAAAACAAATGTAGTTATCCTAAAGTGTAATAGGTTGCCTTTGGAGGAAGAGAGAGTTTCCTTCATGGAGGTCTTCCATTAAAGGTTGGTGACTCACTATAGTGGTGAGTCTTGGGAAGGTACACACTGGACCATATGGCCTCTGACCCTTCTAACTCTTTGATTCTATGATAGTATGACTTCTAGTTATGACACTAATAATATGACACCCAGTGTGCCCAGATGCCTTCTTGACCATTCCTTGACACATGTACTCAGTATACCCTACTAGGGGAAAGTTTCCATGTAATGAAAAACAATGGGATATCAGGAATAAATTTATAGAAATTCACTTTTTGGGTATACTTTATAGAAACATCTATACTATAAAGAGGGAAGAAACCTCCTGTCAGTCTAACATAATTCACGTCAAATGTGAATCAATAAAAACCAAGGTGGCATTTCATCAGTGGACATCTAAGTCATCAAGTTTCCCAGCATAGCAGGCACTACTGTGTTATCATTCCCCAGGAAAGGTCACTTTCATGTAGAGATGCTCCTTTGGGAAGTACCACTGAGGGTGACAAATCACTGTCACTTCCTCTCATTTAGAAGGGGGCAAGCAAACCTCCCAGCAGTTTCTTTATTTCTCAGGTAACTGTGACAACCAGTGGATATACTCCCACATTTGGTGAAACGTTTCCCACTTTAGTTTGAGAGTTAAATCATCAGATCCTTCTTTGAAAATGTCCTTTCATAGCTTCTTTCCAACCTGGTAGAAACATGGCTAATATGGAAATGTTTTGCATGACTTCATATGTATAATGGGTATCAGTTTCTTGACTTCTCAATGGGTAGGAAATGGGGTGGAGGGAGGGAAAGAATTTGAGACTCATAATAAAAATACAATTCAAAAAAACCAACCTAGTGGAAAAACCTACCCTTCATTTATGGTAGCTACATCTAGAGAAACTAGAGAGAGAATGTTCTTTGCTCTAGCCAACCCACAACTTACCTTACTGTTCTTTAATACCTAGTTTTTTGGGGTGATCTTTGTATCTTAGAGGAAGGAAAGGAGGAAACCAGTATTTATTAAGCACCTGCTATAAGCCCAAGCGCTGCACTGTTTTAGAGATATTTTCTCATTTGAAACTCACCACAACCCTGAGAGGTTGGTGCTATTACTATCTGCATTTTATAGTTGGGGAAACTGAGGCAGACAGATTAAATGAATTGCTCAGGGTCACAGAGAGAATAAATATCTGAGGCTGGATTTGAATTCGGGTCCTCTTGTATCCAGGCCCAGCACTCTATCCATTGAACCACCTAGCTATTAGCAAAGCACTAATGGCAATAAAAGGGAAACTTAGAAACTTGGAACAAAGAATATAGACTATACAATTTAAAAGGGACCTTAGAATAGAGACACGGAACATTAGTGCTGGAAAGGTCCTTAGGACATGGGGACACAGAAGAGGAGAGCTAGAAGGAACCTTTTAAAAATAACATTTTAGTTCTGACAATTAGTTTAAACTTTAGAATGTAGACTATCTGAATGCAGAAAACAGAATATAAGATTTCAGAGCTAGAAAAGAATCTTTGTAAGAGCTGGCAGAAGCCTTTGTGTTAGAATGAGGAATGTCAGAGTTTGGTGTTGTTTTTATTTTGTTGTTCTTGTTGTTGAGTGGTTTTAGTTGTGTCTGACTCTGTGACCCCATGGCGGGGGGGGTTTCCTTGGCAGAGATATTGGACTGGTGTGCCATTTCCTTCTTTGGCCCATTTTACAGATGAGAAAACTGAGGCAAACAGAGTTAAATGACTTGTCCAGGGTCACACAGCTAGTAAGTGTCAGAGGCCAGATCAGAACTCAGGAAGATGAGTCTTCCCGACTCCAGTTCTGGTGTTCTCTATTCACTGTGCAACCTAGCTGCCCAAAAGGGATCTTAGAGGTTAACTTCATTTTAGAGATGAAGGAAGAGAGGCCTAGACAAGTTGAATGACCTCCCCAAGGTCATACAAGGTAACAGCAGAGCTCAGCCTGGGATCAAGCTGCTGGATTCCCAGATCTAAGTCCAGTGTTCTAACCATTGCTCTAGGTCACCCAGGTATAATAAGTGAACAGAAAACTGCTCCTTCTCCTGCTGGCCACTCCTAAATATCAGGCATCTGGCTTGAATAGACAGTGGGTTCCCATGTTTGTACCTCACCATGCTTAAAGCATTTTCCATGACCAGACTTCTTAGAGAGCAGAGAATGCCCTCATCAGCTCTCTCCCTCTGCTTTTTCACCCAGTCTATCTGGAAGACCATAAATGTGCTCACACACGAGTGGGGAATGGCTCCTAAACTCGTCTGATCAGGAATGACTCATAGGATGCAGAGCCGGAAGGACCTTGGGACGTCCATGGTCAGAAGTGGAGTATGCTTTGGAGGTCATCCAGGCCAACTACCTCGTTTTACCAAGCAGGGACCCGAAGCATAGGAAGGTTCAGAGATTAGCCTGAGCTCAAAGAGGGAGCAGAGAGCTGAGCCAGGATACAATTACAGGCTCTCTGACTCCAGCCAACAAAGGCCTTGTCTACAGCATGGCAAAGTTCACTTTCAAGGCAGAGGTCATCCAAATGGAGAACGCCGAGCACCCAAGGGAACATGTAGCTTTTCACCTCATACAGAACCATCATTGTTCTCATCCTTCTAACAGAGAGCTTGCCTAGTACTGGATTTGAAAACATAAGACAGAGGTTTGACTCCTGGCTCTAGTATCAATAAACTGAGTGATTTCAAGCTCGTCACTTTCCTTTTCTGGATGTTGCTTTCCCCATCTGTAAAATGGGAATGATAATACTTGCACTGCCTACTTCAGATGGCTGCAATGAGAGAGTGTGTATATGGTACTTTGTAAACCTTCAAGCACTATTAATATTAGTATCATTAAATATAAAAGAACTGAAAAAAACATTTCTGCATCTTAAAGGACAAGATAAGTCTTGGGACTTAGACAAAAGTTGCTTTATATTGGTTCTCTGTTTTCTTGTGTTTCTCACTCTTCACAGTCAGTAGGCTTGGGAGGTCTGATGTTCTATACATGCCTGTACGTGTTCTCCCCTGGCACATTCGGAGCTCTGAGATAGATCCCTCAAAGCTGAGATTGCCATCCAACTCTGAGGAGGGCATCAGGCTGTTGGTTCCGCCCTTGACTCCGTCCACATCAATGATCCTGTTCACTGGGAGTTCACTGCCAGAGTTCATCCCAGGATATGAGCCGGGGTCATGTCGGGGTGGAAGGGGGATCTGCTCACAGAAGTTTCCAGATTCTTTCATCCTTCCATGGTTTGCTCCTAACAGAAACAAACAAACAAATGAATGAATGAATGAAATGACTGGATGGCTAAATAAATAAATAAATGGATGAGTGAATGAACGAATGAATGAAGATACTTGATGAAAAGGAAATACAAGCCTTAATGACAAGAATGACTGGTTTCTCCATTAAAATCTATCATTCCTTTTCAACGTTACAATAACGATCTCTGAAAGGCTCAGTTTATTAACCTATAAAGTGGGGATAATAAAACCTAGCCTACCTATTTCATGAATGGTTGTAAGTAATATCTTTGTGACAAGAGAATACTTTGTGTATAGAGAAGGTATTATTACTGTTATTATTATTTCAACCAGACCTGTGATTTCATTGGTTTAGAGAACGTTCAACAAGGAAACTCTGCCAGTACAGATGGACACCTGTTCAGTACCTCATGGTTTTAAACAAATGCCTAAGGGCACTGAGAGGTTAAATGATTTAATTGTTTCAATCCCATATCTTATTTTAGTTTCACAACTAATGAATACATGACATGATGACATGGCCAGTATTATCAGAGTTGGAATTTGAACCCAAGTCTTCCTGGCTCCAAGACCAGTATATTACTACACCATGCTGCCTTTCTATCAATCATCATAAATATTATAAGAATCTCCTCCCACAGTTATCCTCTGAGGCTCTCTGATGACATGGGCGTGTGACTTTGTTTCTTCAGGACTGGTCAGCAGCACACAAGTTCTGGGTGGTCCTGCCAAGATGGAAGACTTTGAATGTGGGCCTAGCCACAGTGAAACCATCCTGATGAAGGCAGAGAGGAGAGTCACTAGAGCAGAAATCATTTTCTAAGCCAAAACAACTTCATAAGATTGTCTACAAACACAAAAAGAGATTGTGATCTTCACGAATGGGGAGGATGCCCTCACTGGTAAAATCATAGTGGTGGCAGCAGCAGCAGCAGTAGTAACATCTTAAGTGTGTGTGTGTGTATGTGTGTGTGTGTGTGTGTGTGTGTGTGTGTGTGTGTGTGTGTGTGTGTGTGTTGTGAGGGGGGGCATAAAGATCCCAGGGTCATAAATTAAGAGCTGTCAGGGACTTAAAGGACATCATGTCCAGGCCCTTAATTATACAGATATGGAAACTGAGGCACAGAGAAATTGACTTGCATAGGATCACACAGCTAATGCGTATCTGGGCCAGGATTTGAAATAAGGAGAATAAGCATTTATATAGCATCTACTGTGTGACAGACAGTGTGCTAAGTGCTTATACAAATATAATTATCTTTCTAATTCCAGATACAGTGTTCTCTATAGAAGGCTCTTCATTTATGACCCTGCGATCTTTACAATTTATAAATTCTGATGCTAACTCCTTCATCTACCTGATACAAGACTTTGGACAAGTCACTTAAATTCTTTGTGCCTCAGTTTCTTCATCTATAAAACATGGATAAGTATCCTTGTCCTGATCCCCTAAAGAAGCTACTGTGAAACTAAAATAAGATGTTGGATTGAAACAAGAACCTAATCAAGGTGCTAAGTCCCCCAGGGTGGGAATGGTCAAGGTGAGAGACTCTCAGGTTATTTTAAATGTTAGTTCAAAATTTCTATATCTGGATGTCATAAACACTTTCCCCAAAGTCACTAAAATTGTTGTATGAGAAAGGAAACCTACTATATGTTTAGGGCTCTGTCCTTAGCCTTAGTCTGATACAAAATTAGATAAGGCATGATGCTTGACCTCAAGGGGCTCACCATCTAGTAGTGATAAGACACCAGCGTGCATATTAGCCATAATGTGCAATATTACATGCTAAATTTGGTTTGGTTCACTAAGGCCATATCTAGCTTCCATGCAATACCACAGTTAAGCCTAGCAAGAGCATTCACACATTGTTGTCCTATAACTGAAAGGTGTTTGCTTTTCAGTTTTTTAAATCTGAGAGTTCCTTTGATCTTGAGAATCAGTGGCTCAGCTGCCTCTTTCCTTCCTCTTCCTCTAAGAGAGTCCTACATGTATCTCCAGTTTACACATTTTATTTCCTAGTAGAATATAAGCTCCTTGAGAGGAAAGATTTTTATAAAAATTGTCTTTGTATTCCCAGTGCCTAACAAAGTGCTTAGAATTTAGTAAATCTGTGCTGAATTTAATTAAAAGAGATGGGGTGGAGGGATGACATCTGAGGCATAGGTAACAGAGTGAGCAAAAGCACGGAGGTGGGGAAGGGCAGGATATGTTCAGAGAGTAGTCTAGCTGGCTACAAGTGAAATAAGGCTGGAAAGGGAACTTGCTACAATGACTCTGTTTCTACTGTCTAGTAAGCTGCTGGAATACAAATGGAGCTGAGCAAATTTGAAATAGAAATGGTCCTTCTCTGACCTCTGCCTCCTCTCAATTCCCATGCTATATACTATCCATACCACTTATTGGGCTCTCAGTAGAGAATGCCTACGATGTTGTCCCCCAATACCCGGCTCCTTCTCTCTAAATCATCCCACCCATCCAGTGCCCAAAGCTTCCCCTTCAAAGCCCAGGGGGCAGAAGGACCATCTTTCACTTGTCTTCCCTCATATTAATAATAATAATTAGCAATTTATACAATGCCTAATATGTGCCAGACGTTGTGCTGAGTGCTTTACAATTATTATCTCATTTGGTCCTTACAACGACCAGAGTGGTAGGTGTTATTATTATCCCCATTTTACAATTAAGGAAACTGAGGCAAAGATTAAATGAGTTGGCCAAGGTCATTCAGCTAGTAAGTGTATGAGTTCAGATTTGAACTCAGATATTCCTGACTATAGGCCTGGGGCTCTATCCACTGCATCATGCTTCAGACCATGCAGTAGATGATGTAAGAGAGGGTTTCCATGTGGATTGTACTGCTCAGAGCTCATTTGTCTTCTATGAAATCTCTCTGTCTCTTAATACCTTGATTCAGCCACCTAGCTCAAGGATCTCCCCCTCCAGGAAACTTTCCCTGACCACCACAACACACAGAAGGTGCTCCAGCTGTACTGTTTTTATTGCCCTCAATACAGAGTGCCTAGTGGGGTTATTTATATTTCCATGTGTGTGTTTATCTTAATCTCCTTCTAAGTACCTCAAGGGCAAAGACTATCTGATATTCTTCGCTAAGTCTCTTACCACCACCTCCTTTGCTTTGAGGAGACAGAGTGGATGACTAGGCCTAGTATATAGCAGGAAACTTGGCACTGGGGAACAGTAGAACATAGAAAGAAAATACAATGTCTGAACTGTTCTAGACCGTAGAACATCTGAGGTAAAAGGGACTTTACAAATGTGGAAAGTCAGAGCTGGAAGGGCCCTTCAAATATGTAATGTCAGATTTGGAAGGAACCTTGGAACATGGAATGTCAGATTTGGAAGGGAGTTTAGAACATGAAATGTCAGAGCTGGGAGGGCCCTTTGAACATAGATTTTAGAATGCCTAGTTGAAAATGACTTTGAGCATCGAATATTCTCAATACAACATGGAGTCTTAACATTTTTTGCGTCATGAAGTCCTTTGGTCATCTGGTAAAGCCTACAGACCCCTTCTTATAATAACATTTTAAAATTCATAAAATAAAATTCAGAGAATTACAAAGGAAACTGATCATATTGAAATAATCATTTAAAAAACATTTTTAAAGCACATGGACCCCCAGCTTAAGGACTACAATAGAAGAAACTTTAGAGATCCATAGTTGACTAGATTCTCTATCCAATACTCTTTCCATTCCATTTTTGGGTTTGTTGATAGAATGAAAATATACAATTTCCCCCCACACTTTGGTGTTTATGTTCTTAATATTTCTCTTTTTAAAATGGTAGTGTCATGAGTTTATAGTCTGTTAGAAAATACCACTCCCTGCAACTCAAGTGCTCTGTTGCAGATGACGACTTTGGGATGGGGGAGGACCTGAGCTGGAGACATCACAACTGTCACTGACTGTTCCCATGAGTACTTGCAAGGCCCTAGTGTCCATGCCACTAACCGAGGCTACTTCCCTGGGAACCACAGAAAAGAGATATAACATTGTAGGTATCAAATTGAAACCGGATTCTGCATAGACTCACAAAGAGTTCATCCATCCATCTGACCCATTGGAAATCACTCCCAAACTTCCTTTACACTCAGGCTGTTCTGTTTATTCCTGTATCACTGCAGACGGTTTCAGACTGGCCAGTTTCAATCACCTCAGGCCTTGGAGATGTAAATTAAGTGAGCAGCTTCCCCTCAGAGATGGATTCTCACTTGACTTTCCCTAAGTCAGCACCTATTCACGGGTCCTTCTTTCTACTAAGCTTTGCTGGTATTTGAGCTCCCATGTCTCAGGCTGCTGTTGACAACAACTTATCCAAATATAGGGTCCCAGGAAAATCAGATCATAAATGTTGAGCTATAAAGAATCTAGTCATTTAGTCTAGCTTCCCCATTTGTAAAATGAAGAAACTAAGACCCCAAGAGGATAAGGGATTTGATCAAAGTCATATAGGTTGTTTTTTGTCCTTCATTCTCAAAGAGGACCATGACATCAGGAAGATGATGCCATGATTTGCAAGTGAATTGCATTTAAGTGAGGGAGGGCTATGCAAGGTCACCAGCCTCACTTTCCTCAAGAGCCTTCTGAGTCCAGGGGAAAGACATAGATCAGGACAACTGGAGATGCACCACCCCCCACATAGGTAGTAAATAACAACAGACCTGGATTGAAACCCAGGCTCTGTGATAGCAAAGAATAAGGTATCCCTCCATCAGCTTAGAGAAAAGAGCGCAGAGATCTCCACAATCAGAATGCATAGTTCATGGGAGTTAGACCCAGAAGGGACCTTGGAAATCATCTGTTCCAGCCTCTTCCTTTTACAGATGAGGAAACTGAGACTCAGAGAATTAACTTGTCTAAGATCACCTTGGTAATAAGTGGTAGAGGCAATATTCAAACACAGCTAGGCTGACTCCAAATCCATTGCCCTTTCCTCCTGCGTGATGCTTTCCCTGTGTGAGCCCCC